CTCCAAAAAAAAATTAAATCAGTCTAATTTTGTGTTCAAAGGGAGTGGGTTTATGCTGTACGAACCCTGGTCTTTATTTTGGTCTTTCATATTTACAAAGAAATGTAGATTGGAAACACTGAATTGGGAGATCATAAGCAAAATTATATCAGAGTATGCCTCTGAGATAACTACTATTATTAACTGTTGTTACTGTTATATTCTGTTATTTATATTTTTATATTTAGTATTACTATTCTGTATACCGTATAACCTTGAATAGAAGCCCAGGGCTGCTTCTTTTTTTTCTGCGAACTTTGGATGGGCATTTTGAGATGGACTTATTTTCGAGGCTACTTTTGCAAAGTAAAGAGGGGGGCTTCTTCATAAAATAAATTTTGGGGAATTACTATAAAACAATACATAGAGCCACTGTAATATCAGTTTGTATCATGGAGTGTTTTAACCGGCATTAACTTACCAAAAAACACTGTATAAACTAAGCGTGTTTTTAATTTATTTTGTTTCTTTGAAATTCATGTACAGTGTTTGTACTGAACTATCTCAAAAGAGAAGCCCATGGGCTTCTTTACAAGATGGGCTTCTTTTTGAAGCTACTTTTGCAAACTTAAGAGGGGGCTTCAATTCGATATGGGCTTCTTCTTGAGATTAAGCTCAATGGGCTTCAATACAAGGTTTAATGGTATGTGTAAAATTGTTCTTGTAACTTCTGCATTGCATATTTCTTATTTTCCATAGTAAAAACACAAAATGATTTTCTCTCTTATTTAGGAATACAAACTAAACCCAAATCCATACTCTTCACCTGATGACAAAGAGTTCTATACGTTGTTGAATGAGAGCAGCAATGGTGACAAAAGCATACCGAGAAATACCGAAAACAAAGCAAAGGAACCTGTCTACAACTACCGTTCGGTGTCTGTGAGTAATACAGGTGAACTTGAGGTCGTGGAATACCAGCTACTGCTTTGTGAAGACTATGTGAAGTCATCTTCTGAGAAGGACCTGTCGTCCCAAGATAGCAGCAACGACTCGATAAGTCCGTATTCAAAGATCGCAGGAAGTACGGGTGTGGACACATCGCTCGGTAGTACTGGTTCCAAAAGTGATTCAAGTATTAGTGCAAGGCAAGAAGTGTTAGAAAAGAAGTTACAAGAGAGAAAGTGCAAGTTTATTGTCTGCAGAGAAAATGGCTACGCCGTTATTGTGGAAGATGAACGTGCTCAAAAAGCAGAAAATGTTTTATAATTTGGTGTAAGTATACGAGCAAGTTGAAGAGGAAGAAAATGTTATATGTAATGGCATTATTTTTATTATTGTTTTTTTTATTTGTAATTGTTGTTATTGTTAATATTATGAAAAACATCATCAGGATTATGATGACTAAAAAACAAGTATGAAAGATTTTAATTTACACCACGTTACCAATAATTACTGTAGCTGTTGATATTGATAATAGTCTGGTAATAATATGACTGGTATGACGACAGTTCAGGGTCAGTAGTGGCTCCAGAAATTTACAGACAGGGGGTCTGACATGTCCAACCGTGGGTGGGTAGTGGGTGGGTATGTTGTTTCAAATCAAGAGGCTTACTAGAGTTTTAGTCAGGGTCCCAGAGTTTTTACAGATTAGTATGGCCCAAATTGTGCTTTTAGCCCACAATGTTAGCAATTGGCAATCAAATTATGTTTTGGGTCTGACGAACTTGTCATGGAATCGGACGAGGAGGGTCCAGGCTTGTCCGGCACATGCCCTCCCTGGCCCCCCCCCCCTTATAAGTTTAATATTAGGAACATTTAGATGACTGATTTCATTTTTTAAAAATGAAGAAAAAAAATGATATAATCAAAGTTTATTAACTTGGAGGAAAAAAAATCATTTATTTATGAAGAATGAAATATTATTCATAATGTATTTTAAGCTTTTAAATTACTTTTATCTTTACTGGGCATTAATATTTGCAATGTTTTTTTTTTTAATGTTTCTCTAGCTATACTTCATGATTTTGTAACCCCAACATTTAGAATTTCATTGCAAGTAGATTTATGCCCCATATAGTCTCCATCTGCATTTCCACTGTTTCATTCCACACCATCGTCGTCCCTATTTTATGTGCATTGCTACCCGTTATGCATTCTCACTAGTGGTGTCACAGAGTTTGGGGGGCCCTGGCGGTGACTGTTATTGGGGCCCTAATAAGCGAGCGAACAAACAGACGCTGGGGGACTCATAGGACCCCCTATCGTGCCCTAGGGGATGAAGGCCCCTGGTGGGATCCGAGGGGGTTTTTCCCTCTCGCACTCAGAGCTTATGCCATTTAAGAACTGTTACTGCGTTGTCAGAGAACATAGAATGGTCCATGACTGATGAAATATTTCAGAAATTTTATGACAAACCCAACATATAGGCCAACTTTTGGAATGGGTACAGGCCTACATTAGGAATGTGGCCAGTTTTACAGGGGTCCAGAGGTCATACTGCGGAAACATTGTTTACCTGGATGCCCAGAAAAAATACGAAAGGATGATTATGATAATGATGATGATTTACTCTATGCACTCGCGTACAAAAACATGATAAGGAATATGACAGGCCGAAACATTTCCAAACCACTTTTTCAATCAAAAGACACCATGCTTGTGTCATGCGCAAGGCACACTGCAACATAAACAAAAAACTGCAGCAATCATTTACATGAGCCCTGAGATAATGTGGTTTCTGTATGATGATTGAAATGTGTTACGCCATTAAGGTAAAATTTTTTAACCACTTATATATTATTTACTTTATTTGTACAACAAAAATCCACTACTTAATACTATACATTAACAATTTAACCATACATGCTTTAAATATTTAAACATTTTGTGATTTGTTTTCAAAAGGTTTTTTTAAAAAATAAAAATATCAATGAGCCTATTTATATTACTGAAGTGCTGATTGCAGCAAAGTAAAAAAATTACCATACAAGAACATAATCAAAACGGGACACCAAAACAAAAAAAGCCGAAACTCCTGCAATGGTAATGCTAAGCAACTTTACTGTATATAGCATCTTACGCAATAGAAAATTGTCTGTGCTGTCCACATCCACAAGTCATCCTGCCGGCTAAAACTTAAGGCACTTTGAACTGTTTAGGAACAGAATTTAGTCAACAGTACCCAAATATACCATAACGTACATATTATGTTATATAGTTAAACCGTCATCTAGAAATATGTTACTAGTATCGCTAATAATATATGATATCAATATAATATCACTACCACAAACAACTGGTTGATCAACCATAAACCACCTTTGAGGAAATCTGGTCTCTTAACACACATCTTAAGTTTATTTTGCTACACATACTGATACCTGTTGATAGTTGACTTTATTAGATATAGGTTTGTCTTTGCTAAATTTTTGCTTGTTTGCCAGAGTTCAAGAAACCAGGCTATTTGAATGGGCCTAGGGACTGTATTTTGGAATATTAATGGAAAACATAACATTCCATTCATACTGCTGTCAAAATAACATAACATCCCTCAGGAAAATACTAACGCACAGGGGTCTCAAAAAGTAGCTGTGTTTCTGAGTAGGGGAGGGAGAGCGAGTGTGTGTGCATTTATCTTCAGTGTGTGTGTGTACATAAATCTCTTAAGGTAAATAAAAGATATGTATTCCAGCATATTCATCTGGTCATATTCGCTAGGTAGTAATAGTACCTCTATTGACATTTTTGTTGTATTGCTCAGGCGCTTGAAGTGTTCAATTTCAAATGCTACCTCAATTTTATTCTTCATTTTAATTGATACTACAGTTAGCGACTGTCTAAGGGCAGGGTTGGAAAGAGTCGAAACTGAAGTATCGCCTCACAAATATAGGGGCAAATGAGCATGCACAAATACAATAAGCATTGATATAGGGAGCTATTTTTGTCTAGTATTATTGAGAGTGTATGAACACTTAAATACAAGAGGTGCTATTTCCAGCTAGTTTTTTATTAGAATACCAATAAGCTTGGATTCTAGCTCTATAGCTAAAAATGAGAGTGGAAAAAACCATTAAAACCCATATTAAATGGTCATCTTTGAGACTAAAATGGCTGTGTCCTCTGAATAGAAGTTAGCCTTAGTATAAAGTTGAAAGATATATTTTCCCTGCTTCTCTGCCAAAAAAGTTTCCCCTTACTTGGGGTGTTGCAAGAGAGAGGCTGTGTAGTTACAGGTACACATATCCTTTGTAATAAGTCCCTGTACATGATCTGTCTCTTATACACATCTAGATGTGTATAAGAGACAGACTCTATGCACTCGCGTACAAAAACATGATAAGGAATATGACAGGCCGAAACATTTCCAAACCACTTTTTCAATCAAAAGACACCATGCTTGTGTCATGCGCAAGGCACACTGCAACATAAACAAAAAACTGCAGCAATCATTTACATGAGCCCTGAGATAATGTGGTTTCTGTATGATGATGACCTGTCTCTTATACACATCTAGATGTGTATAAGAGACAGTCCACAAGCAGTGTAGATTTTTTGGA